TCCTTTCAAAAACAGCATAATGTAATTAATGCAAACTACAATTAACTCAGCGTTCCTAAACCAGTAAATTTCTTTGAAACTTACATAAATTTAAATTTACGCTATTTGTTATTTCCTCGCCGAGTTAATTTTAATGAAAAGAGTGGTCTCGTGGTATTTTTCGTAAGTGAAATTTGATTCCATTAAAACGCCTGTCTGCTAGTGTATCGATTAGATGTTGCCGAGTAATATCAAGTTTCTCATTTTCTTGGTTAGGGGGGAATTCTGTTACTCTTCTCAGTCCTTATCAGCGGCACGAAGCCAAGGCAGGACTATCAAACGAAAATTACATAGAAACAAAATTTCGGTTCGACGCGTCACGAGATACAGGCATCACGTTACGCATTTTTCAATTACGCATCACCGCGATACCGTACACTATTTCGATACGGTATCGGGTGCCTCGTTACCAACGAATCCTCTTCCACAGCATTAGTCTTAATAGAATCCGAGATTTCTACCTTTTACACCAAGAATTTCATCCGACGCGTGTATCCTAGCACCGTGCTATTCAACATGTTTCGTCGAATTACAAAATCGATAGAGGGGTTATTTATGGGGGTGGAGAAATATGTTGAGAACGTATAATGACGTTTTGTTTCCGCGGAGCCTTTGTTCCCGTGTGGGACACGGCTGCGGTAGCAGGAGAAGAACTTTTATATCGTTGAACGGTGATTTTTAAGTAGCAAGATACTTTCATTTCACTGTTCATCTTTGAAACCTGAATGCACACATTGCTGCAGTCTCTATTCTCGAATGCAACATCGATGGAAGCACTATTTCGAATGCAAAACATTGTTTTACGCGTTACTTTTGAATGCAACATTGCTTGAAGCGTTATATTCGAACGCAAACATTGTTGAATCTCTATTTCTGATTGCAACATTATTAGAAGCGTTATTCCGAACGCAAACATTATTACAAGCACTACGCTTGAATGTAACATTGTTACAAGCGTCATTCTCGCTTGTAATATCATTAACTCGTATTATTTTCGAATGCACATTGTGGCAAACGTGGTTATCGCGCTTGCAACTTTGTTGCCGCGAATCGTTCTCGAAAAACGCACAATGTTGCACGACGCGCCGTTTTGCAACATTGTGACTCACGCCGGCTCCCGAAAATTGCACATTGTTGCAAACGCGTACCGGGTTTGCAACTTTGTTGCCGATAGTCGCTCCCGAAAATTGCACATTGTTGCAAAAGAGTTCTGGGTTTGCAACTTTGTTGCCGACGAAAATCGCACATTGTTGCACGGCGCCCCGTTT